CACCATGCAATGAAATAGATCCGAAAATCTGATGACAGCCTGCTCGAGTAGAGCTACACGTAGTTAGATCGTAGCAATCTAGAGAATTCCTGAGCCCTGCTGTCAAAACAACTTCACGTAACCATGTCCGAGATCTCAGGATCTAATTCCTGTGAGTTGGAACAGGTCAGCGACAAAATCCTCGTTGAAGGACGTTATCGTATAATACAGATAGTAAATCCAGAAGTCTTCCTATCATTTGTACTACACGACTTTCGACGAGGATTCTGTCGCGGTTCCTACTCTTATATCGAATCTCCATCAAAAGTCCCATACAAAATCAGAATTATTAATTCGATAATCCAACTCTATTCTTGACAACAGTATCTTGTAAGCTTTTAATTTCCACAGAAATTCTGATGTATAAATCTTAAAATGACAAGAGACATTCCATAATCTACACTTCATATGATACAATAGATTTAACCTGCCGATAATATGGATAGAAACAGTCCCTTTTATAAATTCACAGACGAGTCAAACTTGGAGAATAATTTCAAAATAAAGACTTAAATTAATATTGTAAAGGATCCGTTCAGAAATTACTAGCTATCCGAATCAGTAGCTTAACAGAGATGTTTCCCTTTTGATGATTGAGAACAGAATTTCGAGTAACAAGGACATAATGACACTTGTGTCGACTTGTGTCATTAAATCGAAAGCACTCAATGATGTTTAACGAGATGCGTGCGAAGACACTCAAAGTTCGTGTTATCCAACAGAGCGCGTGAATAACGATCGCATGCACGTGCACTTTGGTGTTAAGTGGGATTTGAGAGAACGGAGAAGAGTAATCCTCGTAAATGAGTGAAACGATACTCCTCAATTGGGTCATGCGTACATCTGTATATACGAGTTTTAACAACATACAGAACGTTCATTTTTTTAACGCAGACGGAACTACACTTCGTAATACTTATTGAATTAATAAAACTTTTTAAATACGATTAAAAACGCGCTTTTAACATTAAAATTACCAAAGTAGTTAAAATGATTGGTTTTTAATAAATAGAATGCCTCAAATTTATAATAATGCATTTTTTTACATTTTTTAAAATATTTTCATGACTTTTTTTTAATGTTTAAATATACAATTAAATTGATCAATTTACTTTCATTCCTGTTGTCCAAAATATATATATATTTTATTTATTTTATCCCTTAAAAAAATATATATAGTATACTTGAATAACAGAAATTAATCGTCAGTAATTTTAATGTTAAATGCTGCGAACTCCATTGTGATTGATCGTATCGTAAGTATTACAAAGTGAGCAGTCTGTATAACGTTCTTTATACATATATTTTTCTAGCTTTAGTTGTACACTCAATATGCACGTACTAACTCGCGCCGTCACAAATATCAAACATGTATACATCACAAATAAAATTGATCGCATCTCTATTAAGTGAATTCACGGGTCAACAAGTTTTATCGTGGCGACGGTTTAATTTTGGATCACTGAATCATTTGGATGAATCGCGAAATACGCGAAAGAATCTCCAAATACAACAAAATATGTATAAAACAGATTCCTTGTGATAAAGCGTAAACTAAAAAAGTTTTATGTTTTTCAAAAATAATTTCAAGAGCAATATATTGAGTTTGTTTCTCAATGTGCGAAATTTTTTCAAGGATATTTCTTAGAAAGGACCATTTCATGATTCAGTAATTCAAAGGTTGAGTTTTCTCGGATACATTTTGGATATGAAGCAAAAGTATCAGATATTTAAGTGGGTGGATGTTCGTCTTGTACTTCGTTGCTCTCCGGCAACTTGATGAAGGACAGATCGCCGCCGCTCCACATCGAGTATAATTGTGATCTCGTGCACTCCTAAAATCAGCGACGTTTATGCTGTATAAGAAAGGAGGGCGAGAGAATAAAGCGACAGACTAGTTTCTATGACATCGAAACGTCGTATAACATAACAAAAGGGTGTAAATAGAAGAATGTAACCGCAGCGAGTAAAGTCTGTATGTTAGTAAAGACTATGTATTGAAGACAGGATTGCGAATTGAAAATTAATATTCTATCAAATAGAATGAAACGGATCAAAATTAATACGGATTAAAAGAATCTAATTACTTGAATTTCAATCCTCAATCTCCAATTCATGGTCTGCTACGGGCTTTAAAGTATTCGTACACTATCATTCTTTTTTTTTTCAACTGTATGCATCTTATATGTATCTTATAGCATTGCGTCTTATTGTTAGCTATTTTATTTAAATCTTCTTTTTCACATTTCTTGTATATATATATATATATATATATATATATATAAGTAAAATTTATCTTTACTCTGGATTATGAAATCCAAAGTTTGTGATGTGAAAATATCAGTGTACGAACACCTTTTTTTTATCACTGTATATCGGTGTCTTAGAAGATACCAGTTTAATAAATCTAGATTTACTAACATTGTATTCTCTCTTTCTCTCTATCTCTTTCTCTCCCTCCCTCTCTTTTATTCACTCACTCACTTACTCTCAATTTTCTTTCTCTCTATGAGTGAGAAAATAACTGAACTCATTTATTTACCCCGCCACCCGCGCTTTCAGAACCTGATCGGCTGTGTGCCGAGACGCAAGAGTCGGTCGACGAGCTGCTCTTGCGAGACGGCAATGTATCAGCTGTACCTTAAAAAAAATGTTCGATATGAGATCATCGTGCTCAATCGAGCCTTAACGCCATTCTCGAAACATTCTAGCGATATAAAATATTACGATCACGATGGTTAATACACTCACCGGCTTCGGTCTCTCTATGATCGCAATGAGAGTGAATGCTGTCCTTGCTATCACCGTGACTGCCGCTGGCACCGCTCTGTTCTGCAGCAATATTACAGTATCAATCCCTTCGCGATTTCTTATCAGATTAATCACTTTATCATCGCGGTAAATAACGATGAGAGAAACCTTACCCGAGTCCCTATGTTCGCTGTGAACACTGTGATCGCTATCACGATGCCCAGATTGATCGGAATGATCACTGGAGTCCTGAGGCCAACATCTAGGTGAACCTATCCTACGCGACCCCGACCAAATAGCGGAGTCGTAATTCGAGTCGAAATTGCAGGTTGTCAAAGTGACGCCCGGGATATGCTGACTAGTGTAAGCCGAGAGTTGATTGGACGACCGAACTCCTGCACAACGTATAACCTTCGAATCGTAAGATTCGAGAACGCGAAAAACGAGATAGCTACAATTTATATTTAGTTCGTCAAATATGTCCTTCTGATCTTACAAAGATCAGACAAAATTAGGAAGGAAAGAGAAGTCGTTTCACAAACACATTCAATATTTAGCTTGAAATCGAGCGTTCGCCTTCAGATAATTATTTTAAATTTTAAATTTCATAGAGATAGGGCTCGGCCATGTAAGTCACAATTTTTAACCAGCATCAAAGAATAATTTTTCACGAAATTTCCTTCGTAAAATCATCTATATTGTCGTTGCAAACCGTCGCGAGGGACTGAGGTTTTGCTACCTGGCTTGCAAGACAATAGCTGAATAGCTTCCTGGAGACCGTCCTGACTAGCCATCGACGTTTTCCACACCGAGTCAGGCGTGGTCGATCTACTACGATCCTGCTGAGGCACCCTTAAACGCGACCTTGCATCCTGGCGTGGCCACTCTATAACATGTTTGCAATCCCAGGGCATCGACCAACGTCTCATCGTGCTCTCGACGGACTCGCCTGACATTTCCGCCGCCGCCGTTTCTGACCACCTCCTCTGAACCTTGACACACGAAACCAAACATGACGCGCTTAATACGATAAAGAACGGTCGCATGCCGAGCTCACGAACATGCCAATTACCTGCAGAGGAAACAACGAATATGGCAAAGGAGACCTCCGACAATTTTGTGTGGAGTGCTGGGTGGACGAGGAGGAAATTGGCACCGGCGAACTGTAAAGACGTTCGAAGCATTGCTGAAGCGCAGCAATGTCGCAATCGCCACTACCGCTTTGAGAACAAGAACATTCCGCCATGCCACCTAAATCAGCAATTAAAAACAGAACCTTCTTAATTTCCGAAACCGAAATATAATCAGCTAAATTTCCTACTTCAATTTTTATTACAGTTGATTGCTTTAATGCTAGGTTACCTATTTTAATACTTTGACTGCCGTGTGTATCCAATTAAGAATCCACCTACGTGAGTTCAGGACGTATCAATTTTAGTATTAATTTGACACATATTACCATCTGTATACGAATTAAGAACACTTTGAATTGTTTTTATATGATATATTGTAAACTCTTGAGGAGTCTATCAAACTTTGTCGAAAACTTTTATTTAAAAACATATTTTTTATTAGAAAATATATATTTTAATGTGAAAAGTTTACTTGAAATTATGTTATATAAAAAATAATAATGTGACGTGTCAGGGAACCGATTACAAAAATCCATACGACAGTCAAAGCGTTGTTAATTTTCTTAAAAATAATCTTACTCTTTCATTTTATATTTAAATAACTATACATATCACTAAAAATGCTACAACTTTAATAATATAGGCTTACCCAAACATTCACAACAAGCAACGCAGAACTGATATTGCAAGTTTACGAATGTCAAGAGATTTTCTCTGAGGATATCCTGAAAGAATGGAAGCGTCCTATCAGTTACGTCAATAGTTTAACAACGAAGCCTAAATAAATATAAATTACTGACATGCTTGTCTCCGTCATTGTCGCGAGATTCATGATCTCTCAGAGCAGTGATCACATGATTTTTAACAGTGCTGCTGGCTATGTGCGTAGCTCTTGCTAATTCTTCCCACCCAGCTAGACACTGGCCTGTCAGACGACACTGTGCCACTGTATCGTGCACGGAGAGAAGTGC